AGTTATGGATGCTCCTCAACAGAAACGTCTTTGCGCCTGGTATGTGGGTAGGAATTGGCAGAAGAAAATACATGAGTGCGTTGAAAAGCAGTTGAGGCTGGACGTCTACCACAACGTGAGACTCCTTTCAGAGTTCCTTGACCAGCAAGAATTTAAAGAGTATCTTCAGTCATTTCGCGACATTCAAGAAGCAAAACTTAGGAATTTTTTTAAGTACTTCAAGGATAACTATACTGTTAGACCTCAAGAGTGGGCCTACTGCTTTAGAACTAGGGCAGGTATCAACACCAATATGCACCTTGAGAGTATGCACAGGACGTTGAAGCACAGCATGTTGGAGGGAAGGAAGAATAAGCGTGTTGATAAACTAATTTCTGCCCTAATGAATTTGTCATATTTTTTTTGATGAAGAGGGCGATCCAGATGATCAAAAGAGCAAAGGGCAAAAAGTTGAGTGCACTCGAAAGGTACCACAGGTCTGGCAGTGAAATAGCAGGCTGTGCAAAATTAAACGAAGATGGGATGTGGACTGTGCCTTCTCAGTCTACTAAAGGACACTCTTATACCGTGACGAAAGTTATGGATGACGCTTGCTGGCCCTTGAGATGCAAGGAATGTGCAGTGTGTGTGCATACTTACAGGTGCACTTGCTGTGCGCACCTGAAACATTTCACAGTGTGCAAGCACATTCACTGCGTCGTCATTGCTAATACACCATCAAGCAGTGACAATAATGACTGAAATACGTGGCGCAAGGTTGACAAAGAGAAAAAAAGACGAGACAGAAAGAGCGCCAATATTAGGCTGAAATACGTGGCGCAAGGTTGACAAAGAGAAAAAAAAGACGAAACAGAACTAGCCCAACATACCGTACTGTTAAACAATAATGACTATGAGAGCCCACCTGAAACAGCAAGTGAAATGAGCCAGGCATCGCACATAATTGAAAGCATTACGAAGTTGGACGCAGCCACAAAAGTGTCATGTGCAGCATTATTCAAAGCGAAGATGGAGTCTGTCAAACAAGCAATAGTGGATGACGAAGGAAGTGGTTGAGAAAGCGAATAAGTTGTTTGAGCCAGTCTTGCAGCTTGTTGAAGGCAACAAGAAAAGAAAAATGCCAGACCAATCTAATGAGCAAGCAAACAAGAAAGTCGAGCGTCAAGTCAGATTCTATTCCACAAAGGAGCCTCGATCATCCCAACTTTCACCAAGTCTTTCAAAGCCTACCGAAGCTCAAAAAGAAGTTCTGAGACAGCAACTCATAAACAGAAATGTGGAGTCGGCTCAGATAATCACACCAGCAGGGCATGACTACAGTTAGCAAAAGAAGCTGTCAAAATGGTGAAGTACTCTACCAATATTGGGTTACTAGGACTTATGAATAATGAATCAAGTCGAGTGCTTGTCCACTAGCACGCTTATCATGACAGCCATTCTCTTATGACCAGTGGTTTCCCTCCTTTGTGGTGGTGGGCAGCCGTACATAACAGCTAGATGGTACGTATGTTAGAATAAATATTGCTTTGCTGAATAAATATTGGCGCGAATAAATATTGCTTTGCTGATGTTCGTCAATGGCTGCCCAGCGCCCGCTCTGATAATACCAGTAGTGCATAATGCACTGTTGATTGCAGTTAAGCCGAATCAGAATCAAATTTCTCAGTAGTGGCCGACTACTTCCTACAACCAGCTTGCAGTAATCACGACAGAAAAATTCTATCTGGTCAGACTCCTTCGTGATCGAAATTGACAGTATGACACCCATAGAATACCTATTTGTCTGGCAGGTCAGCTTGTGGATATACAGGTGTAACTAGATAAGAAAGGCGAAATTCATTGTTCAGTGGCAGCGGATACTCAAGGCGTGGCACGAAACTCTTGCTGAACCCTTCTCGCTCAACTGCTACAATCAGCTTATTTGCGATGTGTGTCCACTTTGTCCTCATATTTGCATTGATATAATCAAAATGGAACTCTACCAACTAGCCCAGCTGTCGACCTTGCTGTGATATAAAAACAGATGCAGGAACCTACAGTGCACATATGTACTCACTTTTTTGAGCTCAATTTTCGTGACGTACAGCCTGACACTTAGAAGCATCTTGTGGCTCTCTTGTTTACAGTTCATCCGCCTTGGTGCTGTTGACCTGCCAAGATTGTATGCCTTGCAAACTCGTAAATGGTATGGTGTCTTGGTGCCATGCCTTCCATTGCTTTCTCTCAGTAACATGAAATGTCTGCAGCCATTTTTCGTCTGCACCATAACAGAGAAGCCTCAACTTCAGCAGTGCCTATGTTAACCCACACTGCCTTCTAAGAACTATGTCAACAATCCCAGCACTATGTGCTGCTGGGCTTCATAACAATAACAAAAGCTTGCTCAATGGCACAAACTGTCCATATGCTTTAGCCCCACAATGCAGCTGCGCAGTTCTCAGTAGGGTGTGTTGGAAAACTGTCCAGTTTTACAAACACTGTGATGTGCTGTCAGCTGCAAGAGAATAACTCGTTTATAACAGCTCACTTTTGCAGAAAGGAGGAGGGGTAATGTATGTGCAAATGGCCATCCACTACTGTTTGTTGCACAAAACTGCAATTAGGTCCATATAGATTTGTCATGAAGAACAGCATTTTAGTTGGTAAAAAATTTTGATGTGGTGTGCAGTTTGAAACCGTTCCTGACGTGTTTTCGGGATGATCTCTGTATCATTTAAGCTAACCAATATGCTGCCAGCAATCACAGTGCGAGGGTGAATTCAACTCGAAGTGCATGGAGACTGATAACCAGCTGCAAGTAATCATTTGAAGTTTGATTTTTATAAATAGATGGTAAAGAATAATCACGTGCTAAAAGCTGCAGCATGTTCCTGCAGGTCTCTTGCCACATTAAGTGTACGTGCTCAGACTTTTTGGCTTATTGGCACTTGCACAACACATTGCTAGCCTCCTAGTTATATCTGTACAGAACCCCCGAAAGGTGTTGGTTCCAGGCTTGAGCCTAGGAGCACAACGTTTTTTTCTTTCTTTCTGAGAAATTGGTATGTATTTCGTGGTAGCTTTGTGCTAACAGGTGGATGGCCAATTTTCAATTCAAAATAATTTGTTCTCTACGCAAATAATGTATGTGAGCGCAACTGTGATGCCTTTAACCCCTTAAGTACCAAATAAATCACGTAAATTGTTCGAAATTTGCCATTTTTTTAATATAGCAAGGCAGCACCAAATTGGGCTGGTTGGTTGATATTCATTCTTCAAAGGTATATAACTGTGCTTTTCTATGTCCCTGTCTGCTTAGTGCAGTTATACCTTTGAAGAATGAAGATTTTTGTACGATGTGAAATGCTTCGGCGACGTGTTCAAAACAGGAATACTTGCAAAAATACTCTGCATCAGATAATGCATTATTCATCATTTCTTTGCAAATTCGTGCAATACCTCATTACGTAGGCATTTGAAGTGTAATCTCAAATAAAATTCAAACGTGACTAAAATAATCGATAACCAACATTCTCATCAATAACCCTTTCATCATCTAAACGAGAAAGATATCCCATGTGAGATCGCCTCACAGATGAGGCCATGTTCGTTTATAATATGAAGGGAAAACCAAGGCACACATCGCCCTTTTAGTAAGCAGACTCAATAAAAGCAGGAGTCATGAAACCTGTGCTGCCGCCTGTGTTTTAAACTGGAAAACACCATTTCGGTGAGCTCCTTGAAACATTGTTGAAGAGCCACGACGAGCACAGGTCGTCATAAGTGCTTGAGGGGTCAATCGTGTCCAGATGAGCTAGGCTTGGGGCATGCTGCCAAATGTGATAACAGGAGCTCCAAGTGAATGCCCTCAAATGTTCATTGTTGTCTCGAGATGTCTCGAATGGAGCAATTCAAACTTTCGATAGTGAGCTATCGAAGCCCTGTGAATGCCGTACAGAAAGAGTTAAGTGGGCATATGAGGTGGTTGCTAGCAGCGAGTAAGGCTTGCAAGGCTGCAGTAATGCTTGAAAGAGATACAAAGTGGTTGGCTGAACACAGCATGGCCGGACGGACAGTTAGTTGCGAAAGAATACCTAAGGCCTGATACCGGCTCCACGTTTGTATTAGCTGTGTCGAACATTCATCTCAAACTGGGGCTCAGTACGAAGCACAAAAAGAATTCTGCATTAGAGACAAAACACGAAAGACACCCAGGAACTGGTGGAATGAGAATGACAGTCTCCAGGCCACAGTGAAACACAGCCATAGTTTATAGCGCAAATATTGCAACAGTGAGATGGTCACTGATCGGGCAAAGACGCTTTATGACCTAATTTGTGAGTATTTAGCGTCATCCTGTGAAGCCCAAGATGTCAACCTTTCAGGCTGAGAAGGCAAAGACATCTCAGAAGACGTCCTTTACTGCATCTTGTAGGCCAAATGAGAATGAAGCTGAAGCAGACGGCATTATCCACCACCTTGTTCGTGCTTTAGCGTACATTGCCATGCAACAGAGGAATGAGCCTCTAGCGGCTTGAGAAGGCTTTGGTGAAGCAACGGAGAAAAGGAGCCGACGATCCCTCTAACGAGCGCGGAGCCACCCGAGTAACTGTCGCCTAGTCGGAGCACAACATCCGTCTAGGCTCTAAGATTATTGAACTCTAATGGCCGTAACGTTAAGGTTAAGAATATCCGTGCCCTGCGAGGCCTTGGACTTCCTACACACCGGATGTATAAAGAAATGTTATTTCTCTCCCTAGGGGACTTCACACACAAATACTATAAGGCCACGAAAACCATGCCATGAGGACGACTTCGGGTGACACCTAAATGGTGCTTTTGACAAGGCCAAGGTGAAAATACACATTGATAGTGCGTGATTGTCACGAGTCCCAGGTATTGGCGTAGTTTCTGTCGACACACTCCAGCGCTACCACAGTAAAAAGAGAGAGAGAATCAGGACGTTTTGGTCAACGTCAACAGAGTAAATGTTTCGAACAGATACACAATGGCCAGTGCAATCAGTGAGGCTCTTGGACTGCAAGATGCGAAAGACATGGCTGTAGCCAGACTCAGCGGACATGCCCAAAATGGACAGAGAAATCTGCAAAGTGGAAGCAATGCACATCCTGATGTGAACTATTCAGCACATCCGATTCATGCAAGTGTTGACCGTGCAAGTCTGATGCTCGCTCCCTATTGTTGGATACAATTTTAGAAGCATGCAACACTTTGTCAAAGGTAAATACTCACGTGTCGCGAACACCGCAATGTCGTCCGCGTAGAACGCCACGCGCACATCACAGGGAAGAGCACGGGGAATGTAATCGTCGATGTCAGCTTGGGCGAGATTGAACAAGAAGGGGCTGAGTACACTGACCTGCGGAACACCGACACTCACGGGACGCGGCTGACTAAGGACTCCACCGACGCGTACACGCATGGTTCTGCCGCCGAGGAAGGAAGCGATGTACGTGAAGAAGAGACCGGTCACTCCGAGATCACGCACCACGTTCAGGATGGTGGGGTGTGGCAGGGAGTCGAATGCCGCCTTGATGTCTAACAGGATGAGGTACCCGGCCTCTCCTTCGCGCTGTGCCACCTCTAGCATTGCGATGACGTCGACAAGGGCGTCGGCAGTGGCACGCGAACCGCGGAAGCCACACTACGAAGGCAAGAAAACATCCAGTGCCTCGGCAATCCATTCAAGTCTCCTCAGTGCCATGGCCTCGAAGAGCTTGCCCGCTGCGGAGGTAAGAAAACTAGGGTGATAGGACGCTGGCTCCGAGACGGGTTTGCCCTTCTTGAGCACGGTAATGACGATGGATTCACGCCACTCTTGTGGCACTATCCCCGTGGACCACACGTCGTTGTAGGCTGCCAAGAGCACTGGGAGCTGGGAATAAGTGATGTTGCGAAGCATCTGGTATGACACGCCGTCAGCGCCGGGCGCTGAGCGCTGTGTGCGTGACGCCAAAGCCAGGCGCAACTCCCCGAGAGTGAAAACCTCAGTGCATAAAGCGCGTACTTGGTTGCGCATGCCTGTGGTGAGGAAAAAGCGGCAAGGTTTGTACCACTCTCGCCGATGGTGCAGCGGGAGTTCGGGAATCTCGGGCAAACTTTCGGGAGTGCTGAGACAGAGGGTGTCAGCCAGTAGCTCGGCCGATTGCTGGTAAGTGAGACAGTGTGCAACAGCAATGGCGAGGGCTGGGAAACGTAACTCAACGGGGCAGAGGACGGCACTGAATATCCTTCACGCACGCGCGGAGCGTCGCGGGTCATCCAACGTGACGCATAGACTGCCCCAGGAGCGGTCGCGTCTTTGCCGTGCGTGTCGGCGACACACAGCGTCAAGGCTATTATGAAATGTCCAGAGCTCCTTGTGGTCGCTTTTAGTCGCACGGCACTGGAGCCTCCGACAAGCCGCGCGTAGATTGAGAAGTTTTATGTCCTGAACTCGTGTTCCCACTAGCACTGTGCACTTGCGCGAGGCCGCTTCGACGCAGTGGGTGACGTGCGAGAAGTAGGTGACACCGGAAGGTGGGGAGGCAGCCGAGAGTTGCCGAAAACGCAGCCAGTCAGTGACAGAATATGTGCGCGTGCCCACGCGGCGCCGATCAAATGGCTCTAGGTGAAGGGGGTAATGATCTGAGCCCCACGTATCTGCCTCTCTCTTCCATTCGTACCTGCAATGGTCACTCATAAGTGAGAGGTCTATGGCACTGCTCTTTACGCCGCGACAGACGAAAGTCAGACAGCGCGTATTTAAAATAAGCAAGCCTGTCCCAGCAATGGTATTCAACAGGTCTCTGCCTCTGCAGTCTATGTGGTCACTCCCCCAAGCCGTATGGTGCGAGTTGAAGTCTCCACAAATCACACAGTCACCTTGTAGGCGTCGCACCAAACGGGTCACGAATGCCGTGTCCCACCTGTGGACAGGATGGACATAAACACACGCCGATGCCGTGTCACACTGCCCGAGGCGCAATTTAACCGCCACACATTCAACCTCTCTGCACAAGGTGTCAGAAACATCAACAGTGCAATGTGCGAGTCTATTGCGCACGTAGATGGAGGCGTAAGAGCGGGCGGGAGGACATGTGGGGTCGCAGCACACATCTAAGTCGCAATCGCGCACTTGACACCTCGCTGTACAATGGTAGCTCGAGTAACCAGTTAGTCTACATTCGCATCCACGAACATAAGCCTCCTGTAGTGCGACAATGTCGTACTCGTTGAGCCGCAAGTACTCAGCGAGCTCACTGTGACGGCGGCGCAAAGAACGACAGTTCTACTGAAGGGTGTGTGGCCGTCGTGCACAGTTTTTACTTGCCATGCTGTGTCAGAGCTTGTTGCGTAGCCAGCGCTGCTATGCAGAGCAGGCGAACCGGACAGTCACGAGGGAGGAAGTTTAATGCGGCACGAACTGCGGCCGCGAGCACCGAGATCGCCGAGGCGTTCTCTAAAGTGGTGGTGGTACTCGTTGATGCATGAGCAGTATAAAGCCACCAGCGGCCGCCGAATATGAAAACCCCTCTCGAGTGGCAGAATTCTGTGCCACGGGGTTGTTCTTGCGAACAACTGCAAAGGCTTCGCGGCGTGTCATGGGGTGGGCCGATTGCGCGCGGACCTCTAGTAGCTGACGCTCTTGTTGCTAGCGAGGACAGCGAGGTTCTGTGGCCAGATGGGTGGCGCCACAGAATATGCAACACGGGCGCTGCACGGTGCAATCGGCACGTGGATGTGGCCCGCCACAGTGCACAGAACGTTCATGTGCGGTGCAGGTGATGTACGTGTGGCCGTAGCGACCACCCCGTTCGCACTGCACAGGACGAGGTCGGCGAGCACGGACCGGGCGTCGTTGTTTGTAAAGTTTGATGTCCTGTGAAGATTTCCGTCCAGAGAACATGATGACGACATTGCGTCCGAATCGCGTGCATTGCAGTACAGGGAGCTGCGATGCGATGTTGTCGCGTAGTTCCTCCTCCGTGAGTGCTGGGTCGACGTTTTGAATTACTCTACTGCAGGTGTTGGTTGACGCCTGTCTGGCACGCACGGGAATCTCGCAGATGTTGGAAACTGCGAGGAGGGGCGTGAGCGGTGCTCCCGCTGCAACGTCGACAGCGATAACATTGCGGCCGAAGTTAATTCGCACGTGGTGTGCTCCTTCAACTGCTGCTAATTGTGCGGAGATTGCCTCTTGTGTCGCAGACTGAAAGGAGTTTTTCCCGTCGGTTGGCCTGTAGAGGATGGTCTCCAGCTGGGAAGTGTACCCAGGGCTCGCAGGTAGCTGAGAGGGTGGGGTACATTTTTGGGTTGAAACCGTATGTTTTTGTACCCACGGGTTCTTCTGCCGTGTGTTGGTGGTAGGAACCTGTGGTTCGCAGAGTTTGGTGCCGTTTGGAGCACTTGTGGATGGCAGTGAGGAAAATGGTTCCTCGGGCGGCCCCAGCACACAACTGTTGCGAGAAAAAGGGCGCGGCTGCGTTTTTTGAGATGCACTGGATTTGTTTACATCCCGGCGTAGCTGAGTAGACGGTCTTGAAAGAGGTGTACTCGGGACCGAGAGGAAAACCTGTTTTTCTCCCTCGGCTTATGGGGTAGAGAGGGCTACTTTTCCAGCTGTCCCTGTGTCGTCAGTGATCGAAGGGGAGAAGGAGCCCTGCTCCTTCTGTTCCGGGCTGCTCTCTTCTACAGAGGTGTTGGAAGAGGAGGCCAGCGTGTTGTGTGACCATGACGAGGAGGAGGTGGGGGACCACGTTTCAGTGATGGGAAAAGAACCACTGCTGGCTGCGTCACTCTTCTGAGGGGAGAGAGACAGCTCACATTCTGTCTTTTCTGGATAGCCAACCTCATTACTGCTGCTGGCTTGAATTTCTGTCTCCTGGCACGGACACTGGTTCTGTAGGATGGCGGGGGTCCCTAAAATGGCGGCGGCGGCTGTCTGCCTTTTTGTTACTGGGCGCTTTTTTGGTAGGAAGTTTTGCGCCCTTCGTGCCCGGAGCCTTGGACCAGCGTTGCTCGCGGTCTGCTGCGGAGGTTTGGACAGCAGGCTCGTGGCTGCCTTGAGTCTCCCTGCCGTGGTACGTGCGCTGGAGGTAGGTGAGGGACGCGATAGGCTTGGTCGGCCGGTTGTTTCTGTGTGCAAGACCTGTGCCATGGTTTCGAGCAGTAGGTCACAGGCCTTGACTCTTTCTGCCAAGTCGAGGGCGTAACCTGATGGGAAGCCCTCAGGCAGGCCGTCCGCCATTAGCGATGGGATTGAGGGACCGGCCAGAGTGGTGCCACAGAAATAAACAAAGATAAAAAGAAAAAAGGGGGATTGGGAAATCACATGCTAAACCTTGGAGCCCTAAAAAGGGCTGCACTTGAGAGTGCTATTCAAGGTTTAGACGAGAAACAAATACGCCCACGGGAGTGAGCAAAAACTGCCAAAATTAAAGGACTGGGGACGGGTAAAAACACGTCTGCTCTGTGCGAGGCTCTCCGCGACTCTGTTCATCGGTGGTGACACTGATGCCACAGGTACATGGCCACCTGGTGTAGCCACTGGGATAGTGGTGGGTGCTGAGAGCGCCGCAGCTTCTGCATACGTTGGTACCTGACGAGGTCAGGATTTGGCGGAACAAGGTGGATGTGACGCAGAGGCAATCTCTTGCCGAATGATGTCCCGCAAGTTGGTTGGAGCTGAGGCTAAAGTAAATGGTGGAGCACAGGAAGAGCAGCACCCATGAAGCTCCTCACGAACGATGTCGCGGACCAGGGCACGGATGTCGAGGGACGCAGGAAGACGAGTGTCCAAGGCATCATGGTAGAGACGAACAGACTGAACTTCTTCTAGTCTCTGACAAATGGTGATGACATCTTGAGTCATGGTAGGATTTTGCGACGCAAGGGCATTGAATGCGACGGTATTTATGCCTTTGATAATATCGCGTATTTGGTCGCTTTGAGGCATAGGTGAGTTTACACGCTTGCACAAGGCAAGAACATCCTCAATGTACGAAATGTATGATTCACCCGCCAGTTGAATGCGTTCAGCAAGCTTCTTCGTTGCTGCTTCAGCACGAACACTGGGGGAACAAAAAATCTGACGAAGCTGCCGTGCGAACGTGTTCCAGTCGGGAAGATCTTGGAGGTGGTTCCAAAACCAGGTTTTGGGACCACCAGGTTTTGGGCAGCGCTGTGTGTGGTTCTCTTCTTTGTCTCCGTCTTTTTGTGCGCCGCTTTTCTTTTAATATGAATATACACCAACTCGCCCAACTTTCTATTCTGTTACAGGTTTTGGGAATATCAGTCAGGTAGAAAGAGACCATACGTAATTTGTGTAGAGTATCCCACTTGTTCAACTCGCTGAGGAGGTCGTGGGTGTGTGGCCATTCTTCAACGTCATCGACTTTAAGACCCGAGAACACTGGCGGATCAGGCTGGTGGCAGTGGATGGCCAGGGTCGACGGCGGAGGCTGCAGTGGGCCGGTGGTGTTGGATGAGCCAGGATTGTCTTACACTGCCATGGCAAGTGGTAGTAGACGACGACCCGAGAGGAGCTTCAGTAGTAGCCTGCGAGAGGACTTGGGGATCGAGAAGCACCGCCTACCACTTATGAGGAAGAGCATTATTCGATACGAGCTCGAGCTGGCACACACTGATGATATTATCTACAGATGAGGTACTTACAGAAATGATGATGACACGTCCAATCAATAAAGAAGAGTCGGTGACTGAGCTTACAATATGCGCGGTATTGTACATAATAAAGGTGTTCCTGCTTGACTACCGGCTGCTGCGTACCTCGTGTCGGCCGGCGCTTCAGCGCCGTGCCTTGTGTTCTCCTTGCGGCGCGCCCACCGCACGATACTGCGGTGATGCTCTTCTTAAACGGAACAAGAGTAGTGCTGTCTCATGGATGCCAGATATGTGGTGGTTAGGTTCGCCACGTAGCAAGGCGTAAGACGCGAGGAAGATGGAGACAGTGCCGAACACAAAATAAAGTTATATTGACGAGAAAAAAACCCATTGCAAAAATGCAGTCTCCGTACACGCACGCGGTTAACACACATATAAAAGAAAGAGAAAACAGTCTCACAGTTTGTGCCGTAGCCCAGTGCCCTGAAGTGGGAGCTGTGGCGTGCTCAGATGCAGTCGTTGCTTGGGTGCATGGATCAGCGTCCCGCTGCAGAAGGCATCGCCAGGCCTATAGGCATGGCCGCACACTGTGAGCGCCGTCGGCTTGCTGATAGTGGTCGGTAGCTCTGGTGTTCCGAAGACGCTTGCCGTACCGGAGATGTCCGCAGGATCACTCACCCAGAACTCGTGCCTGGACACGCCGTGCCCCGAGGACGTCAATGGCTGGAGGACAGGAACCCGGCCTTCCGAACGTCACGCGTAGTTGCGGGTTCACCCTAGGCTCTCTTGCGTCGTCTTGTCGGCGTCTGAACAGCTTCGTTCTGCGCGAGCGCCTTCTTTCTTCAATGGGCGCGCTTCAATGCTCCTTCCCTTTTGTCATCTTCCAGGTGATGTGGCGCTGTCATCTTCTATGCTCGCATTTTCAAAGCTAGTACATCACAACAAGTTACATTTCTCAAAACAAGATGTACCACTGCCTTCCTACAGTTTTGACACCTAATAATAGAACTACACTTATAATACACAACATCGTCATAAATTTGCTGGCTGGCATTGGCGTTATGCTAATAGATTATTTGGAAAGCAGCATAATTTAAGCTGTCGATACAAAATAAGAACTGGTTACAATAAATTTACGCAGATTTACAGAAGGGCCATATATACAATTTATATATTTGTGTGTTGTTTTTAATATGTTCAGTATTTATTAAGCCTTTCAAAAAGCAGTAATTATTATCTTCCGCAAAACTGGCATGATAAAACTGAGTCGCCATCGTCATAAATGTTGTAACAGCGTTAATGCTCGGGTTTCTCGTGAAACGATTGAGCGCATGTAGGCTCATATGAGCAACACTGTGATCTGCATATCGTAGAGACTGCCGACAAAACGAGCGTATGATTTATTCGCAGTTTTGATACTTCTCTCTTTGTAGTCTTCTAGTAGCCACTTATGATCTAACGCAGCTCAAAGCTCTGCTTGAGTGAGAAGCTAGGCGGATCCGTGCAAATTTCGATTGACAACCCTTTTGTGGGTCGCCAGGCTCCTAAAACAGGGAATGTATCAATGCAATTTCATAGTGCCTGCATATTCACTAGTGCAGCATGGCGCGTAGCAGGTGAGTCCACATTTATTATAAGGGGATCAGAAACGCATTAAAGGCGCTAAAGACGAGCAATTACACGCTTTCGCAGGCTACGGCGCGCGCGCTCCCAATGCAGACGCTCCTGCGATCTTCAGTACGATGGGACAACAGTGCCGCTGCTACTGTCACCAGCCAGAGAATCAGCCGAGATGTGGCGCGGCCGCTTCGTTCATTCCACTGTCCCCTACAAGTACACTGTAACCTGGGGTGGCGAGTGGTAGACTATCGAGCACTTGCTCCTCCAGTCAACGAACCATTTCTCCACTGTTCGAAGCTCACTCCCCCTCCAGTAGAGAGCACCACTTGAGAGGCAGGAACTTTTTTCTAGTGTCGTGAGCGGGCTGCGCCCTCCGCGGGTGCAGTGAAATGTGTAAGTAAGTAAGTAGGTGGTCCTAATCCCTTTTGACATAGGACAGGAGCACGCAGCGCCACAGGTCACAATGTTGTGAGTTCTAACGCTCACCCATACACACACACGTGCACACACACATCACTAGGCAGGCGCTCGCAGCGCCACCAACCAAAACTTCGTGCTCCACACTCACTTCACGCGAGCACACACACGTTTTCAACTTCATTGTTCAGATGAAGAAAAAAAAGAGTCTGGTTGTACATTGACAGTTTCGCCACCAGATAAAAGTGCCCCCGGCCAAGTCAAGCCAAGTCTATTCAGTGGCGCCGGCGTCGTGTAGGGGTTCTGTGGCGTCGTTGCTGCGCTGGACTCTGTCGGGGTGTTTGTCTCCATGTCAGCACAGCTTGTCCCAGATTTTTAGGCGTCGCTTAGCGCTCTCGGTGTGCTCGACTCGGATGTCGATGGAATCGTCTGAGAGACCCAGATATTCCGCCAGGCTTAGCTTGGGGTGCTCCCTTGCTCCGAGTCGCAGGCAGTCCATTATGATATGTTGGATGGTTTCCTCCATGGCCCCACATAGGCGGCGCGACGGATCTGCGTCGAACAGTTCCCAACGCCGCTGATCCGTGGTCAGAGACCCCGTCCTGGTTCGGAACAGAAGGGCGCTTTCCCGGTCGCCCCTGTAAAATGGCTCACACTCTGGAGCCAGCTTGTATTTGAGGTATAACTGCAGGCTCCGTTTCTTTGCCGCTGACGTGCGCCACCTCTCTGTGCTAGCTTCGGTGATAGTGTTTTTTTTATTTGACGCCATTATCGTTCCGATTTTGCTTCTTCTAGTTTCGCGTTATGGCCGAATTTACTTTCCAGGGAAGCTAGTCGTTTCATCCACTGTGTTTTTATGCCTCTGTATCGAAGGTGCAGGTATATGCGCTGGCTGTAATTTATTTCTGGTAGAAACTTTAGCCGGCCCGCATACTGTATTTTTGACCTTGCTTCGAAAGTTGACCAGGCTAACTCCCTTGCTACTGCTGCGTTTGCTGTTGCAAAGCTGCCTCCCAGCAGCCAGCGTCCCAGTTCATTTTGGTGGCGGTCCAAAGATCCCACTGTTTGGGTAGACTACGACAGTTTGTCACCTGCGTAGGTTGTTGCAGGCACAGCAACGGTCTTCAAAAGCGCGCGTCCTACCCTGTAGGGGTTGTAGGAATGCCGTGACAAGTGCCACACTCTATCTTTTAGGTGGTTGGATTGTCTAATAGCATTTCTTGGTGTTTGACAAGGTAATTCTTTTGGTCTCATATTGTTATGCCTAAGTATCTATATGTTGCTGTTCTCTTCATGGCGTTGCCTTGGATGGTGAATGTTGTGTCTTTGTCATCGATGTTTATGCCCATCCATTGTATTTTGTCAGTGTTGAATATGAGGCAATCTTCGTGGGCTACGTGAGAACAGTTGTCGAGGAGGCGCTGCTGGTCCACTGGGGATTCGGCCAATAATACTATCTCGTCAGCGAATGCCAAGCATAAAATTTTTGTGCATATTTCCTGGCGCTCAGTTGTTATGGTGGAGAGACGTAGCCCCGGTCCTTCCTTATTGATTAGTTCTAGTAGGCTGTTAATGTAAATATTGAAT